GCCAACAAAAGTGCGTGTAGTCAAGGCCATGGTTTTCCCAGTTGCAATGTATGGCTGTGAAAGTTGGACCATAAGAAAGGCTGAGCACCAAAGAATGGAGGCCTTTGAACTCTGGTGCTGGAGAAGACTCCTGTGAGTCCCTTGGACTGCAAGGTGATCAAACCGGTCGGTCCTAGAGGAGATCAACCCCGACTGCTCTTGAGAAGGCCAGATCGTGAAGTTGAAACTCAAGGACTTTGGCCACCTAAGGAGAAGGAAGGACTCCCTGGAGAAGGGCCTGATGCTGGGAAAGATGGAGGGCAATAATAGAAGAAAGGGACGACAGAGAAGGAGGTGGCTGGACGGAGTCCCTGAGGCAGGAGGCGGGAGCTTCAATGGACTCCAGAAGATGGTAGAGGACAGGAAGGCCTGGAGGAGATCAACCCCGACTGCTCTTGAGAAGGCCAGATCCTGAAGCTGAAACTCAAGTCCTTTGGCCACCTAATGAGAAGGAAGGACTCCCTGGAGAAGAGCCTGATGCTGGGAAAGATGGAGGGCAAGAGAAGAAGGGGACAATGACAGAGAAGGAGGTGGCTGGATGGAGTCCCTGAAGCAGGAGGCATGAGCTTCAATGGACTCCAGAAGATGGTAGAGGACAGGAAGGCCTGGAGGAACGTTGTCCATGGGGTCGCGATGGGTCGGACACGACTTCGCAACTAACAACAATAACAACCCAATTCCTGCAACCATTCTTTACTGTGTATGCTTTAGCCTCCAGTCCCCTGATCATCTTTGTTGCTCTTCTCTGTACTCTTTCCAGAGTCTCAACATCTTTTTTATAACAGGGCAATATGGGGGTGGTCAAAGGTAATATGGACCATTCCTAATGGAACACTTGGAAATAAGGGATCCAGGGAAAGAGTAGCAAGCATCCCCCGGGGATCCAAATAGGACATCTCTGGATCCTGCTCTAAGCTCAAAATTTGACAGAGCCATCACGTTGGGAAGGCCACGGAGAAAAGCCTATACAGATAGTCCTTGACTTAAGTTATTAAACAGGGTTGTTAAGTGAATCTGGCTTTCCCCATTGACTTTGCTTGTCAGGAGGTCCAGGACACTACAACTGTCATAAGTACAAGCCAGTTGCCAAGCCTCTGAATTTGGATCACCGGTGAAAAACGGTTGTAAGTCATTTTCTCAGTGACTTGGTAACTTCGAACAGTCACTAAATGAATGGTCGTAAGTGAAAGATTAACTGTCCTTCTTGCTGGACAGCAAACATCAAATCTCTGCGTGGGTGTAGGGAAAGTTTCATCTCCACGGCAAGAACAGACGTAGCAAAGAGGTGTCCTTGCTTCTGTAAACACCCAGGAATGTGTGTGGCTTAACTCACAACCGGCTGCCTTTCACGGCTAAGGCGGGACTAGAACGCCCAGCCTCCTGGTGATTGGTTCAAAGTCACCCAGTTACCTTCCATGGCTCAGGCGGGACTAGAACTCCCAGCCTTCTAGTGATTGGCCCAAAGTCACCCAGCTGGCTTTCATGCCTAAGGCGGGACTAGAACTCCC